CCGCCCCTCTCCTGTGGCCGGTTGGTCGCTGCCAACACCACCACGTGCCGCGTGCCCCCCACACCGTCCATCTCCACCAGCAGCTGCGCCAGGACGCGGCTGGCCACGCCCCCGCCCTCGCTCTCCCGGCTGGCGCCCAGAGCATCCACCTGCTGCGATGTCGCAGCTCAGACATCAGCGTGTGAGATAAGGGTGCCCCAAAATTCGGCTCGTTTGGTTTCCCTGGAAAACAACACAAGGGGCCACCCTCAAAAGAAACACAACCCCACATCACCGTTGATCTTAACTAGTAATTGGCGCCGTGGCCGCCAGTCGCTCGTTTCTTTCAGCGCTGGCGAATTGCCTTTCACCCCATGAAAAAGCCGCGGAGCTTCCTGGACGGGACTGCCTGCCACGTGTAGATGTCAGTCAATGGCCCAGAATTTGCAATTGAGAGAGAACACATCCACAATGAAGTTTCGGAACATTCCTCACAAGCGTTGGGTCCCTCAACTCCCCTTTTGAACCTCGAGTGGCGCAAGTTCAATTGGAACACACCCGCACAATTGTGGCCCTGCCAAGAGCAAGCCGAAGAACCTAAGACAAAGCCAAAGCCCTAGGCCCTAAGGATCTGCCCCAAACACGTGTTTTGTTTCCCTTTGGTTTCCAGTTAAAACTACTCCAAAGTGAAAACAGAACACGATGGACCTTCACGCGTCGTCATGAAGGGAGCCTTCATTTGCCAGGTCGAATCTCGCTCAAACAAGCGACACCGTGTCTTTGCGGCCCTTGCCGCTGCCAAGAAAACGTATAGCACACACACACACACAAAAAAAAAAGGAGGGGGTGTTCCATCCTCCCCCATCTGGTTGTGGGTCAAAAATAGGTACCCAAAATGGCTCCCTGGTAAATGGAAACAATGACTAAAAAAACGGCTGTTGCCTGGTGGTCTCATTTTGGCCCATACCCATCCGGCCGTTCCGCGCTTCCCTTCCTTCCGGGGCAACCGGTACCGATCCTCGTCGAAGAAGATCACGCAAGGCGCGGCCTGCCGGGCCTTCCGAAACACCTCACGGCGCCGGTTTTTTTTTTTTGGCGGAGAGAAACCCATTTTGGTTGGTTTCAAGGAGAAACAAGAATACTCTAACCAACTTTTGGGGCTCTTCAACTTTGCTTTGCTTTTCTCTCCCTTTCGGTTGCTTTCAAGGGGACACCACGGCCAAAACAACCAACTGATGGGGCTCATCTTCAAACCACGAATGTGAACCCCGATGAAAAGGGATGAGGGGGGGGGACTGTCCCTTTCCCGAGGAATCTGGGTCACATGGGTGACACCCCGCTGGTATGAATTCTACTTAGATCCGGGGTCCCCGTTCTTCAAACAGGATTTTGGCTAAGACGACCAGGGGTCCATCCGCGTTTTGGTTCAAAGACGGGGCCATCGACGGGTTCCTCGAAGTTTCCCCCAGCCTCGCGCACGCTGCGCTCGCTGTCCCCCACGTACTTGGAAAACAGCTCGGGGCCCTTCACCGAGATGAAGTTCATCTCCGTCTCCGTGGCCACCGCCTTGGCCATCATGGTCTTGGAGCAACCTGAAGTCATTCCCATTCTGCGCTCGTCCGCAAAGAGGGCGGGGCTCCGACGAGAGCAAACGAAAGAAAAGGCGAGAAAAACGAGGGAAATTGAGAAAGAACAAGGTAAAACGAGAGAAAACGAAAGAAAAACGAGGGAATTTAGAAAGAAGAAGGTAAAACTAGAGAAAACACAAGAAAGCGAGAGGAAAGGACTGGCCAAAAGGCCATGGCCAAGCTGGGAGAAATGCCGGAAGTTCTGGCGCCCTCCTGGACTCCGCGCGACTGAAAAGTGGGGCGAAGCAGGTCAACCTCAAACCTGGGATTCAAATCGTGGCTCTCATCCCTTCTCAATTCGTTCCCGCCCAATAAACAAATCCCCGAACGGATGTTTCTTGGGCCCTGCCCCCAAGTGGAGGACGGAAATGGAGATCCGACCAACCCATTTGCGGTCCCTCACGCCACCCCCCCATCTTCGAACCGAAAGCCACCCCGAAACCGAAAGCCACCCTGGCCTGGCGGCCCGTAGAGCAGCACCCCCTTCGGGGCCTCCATACCCATCGCCTCGAAGGCCCAGGCGTGGCGGATGGGCCACTCCACCGCCTCCTTCAGCGCCTCCTGGGCGCATTTGGGCGGGCGGGCGGCGGAGCTTCGGCAGAGTTTCGGCGTGGAGATCAAGGGAAAGCAGAAAAAACGTGGGGGGAGAGAGGGGGGGGGGGAAGGAGGGGGGAATAGCTAGAGTCTTCGTAGGATTCTTGAATGCTATGTGCACGAATCGTATCTTTGTGCTTGTGTATGTGGGAACTGATGAGCCGCGAGCGGTCGGCCCGTTTGGGTTCGAATCCTGACCAAAGAAGTCCCCCTCAAAGGAGGGGAGCCTGTTTCAAAAGAGAAACTGGACAGGAACCTGTTTCAATTGCAGGGGTCCCTCAATTGGAGAAGCTCCCAAATCAGTCCACAAACCAGATCCTTCAGAAATCTGTGCAGTCGGTCGGAGGAAACAGCCCCTTCCAGGTACAACTGTCAGAAAGACATTCAAAATGTCCTCTATGGATGTGAATTTTAAGGCGGAACCCTTTGGTGGACAGCATTTGGGTAGGGGTCCACCAACCATTTTGGAGGTGGTTCATCATGGAAATTCATAGCCCTCGGCAAATAAGCCCTTGTTTGATCGTCTTTGGGGCATTCTTCAGCGTCCAAAGGGCCAGTGACCCTCCAACCTCTCACCGCACTTGGCACTGAAGGGAGGGCTCGACCCAAACAGTGAGACTAGAATCAAGGCGCGCTTCTCCAGGGTTTGGGCTCTCTCAACCTCTGCCCATCTCTCCTTGGTGCTCTCGTAGCCCCCGATGTCATCCCACCTCACCTCTGGCACCTCCACCAAGAGCTCCTCGTTGACAAGCCCCAAAGCTTCAGTCGAATCCTATGAAACCGCACTCTCCGTGTCGACAACAAACCGTTGGATGGCTCCCTCCAGGGAAAACGCTCAAACAAAGAATAATCCGCAAAGAAGTGTCTATATATATATATATATATATCTTTGGAAGGAACACTCGCATTCCACCCAATGGGCCTTGCCCCCGCGGCGAAAATGCGAACCCATCCTTCAGTGCGGAGGGGGGCACCTGACGCAGGGCCTCCCAAAAGCGGTCGAGGTCCAACCTCCGCAGAGAATTCGTGTCGCAGCCATGTTCCATCCCGGACCCCAAAATGACCGTCAGGAATCTGTCGAAAGTAAACTCGCTTGAAGCCAAGCAGACGCATTCAACGGATGTATTTTGGTTTCGACCCCACTCATGGCTCTCAGTTCCTTCAACTGGCCGTCGATCTCTCTCATCTCAACTCGCCCGCCCCAGCCAAATGACCAAAGCTAGGGAGCGTCACCCAGTGCTTTTCCGGGTTTGAAAGTAAACCATCTGAAGGGTCCCACCTGTGCCCTTTTGGCTCAGAGGCGCTGCATCCAAAATCCGCCGACTTTCGGCCTAAATTGACCTGGGTTCCGGCAACCGGCGAGACCCGGGTGGGTTCGCTTGAAGCGAGCCTTGCTACACCATGAACCAGGGATTAAATCACCTGAAGTCAGCGTCCCTCTAATTGGTGGTTTGGATTTATGGTTTAGGGTGGTTTCCAATCTACCTTCAAAAAGATCCAAGGGTTCAAATCCAAATCCAAACGACCAATCCTAGCCACCAGGGGCAAGGTCATAAAGGCTGAATTGAAGGCCTTTGCCGGGAACAGCATCCTTGCTTCCCATTGGAAGCTTCAAGTAGGCTTTCTAACAACCTGCAAACCCTGTTTAGAGGTTTCAGCTTCCCGTTGGGTAGGTGAAAAGACGGTACGGACAAAGCCATTTGGGTGTGGGTCAAACATAGGTACCCTAAATGGAACCCAGGTAAAAGGAAACAGTGACTAAAATCTGCGGTCTCCTGATGGTTTAAGCTTCACCCATACCAATTTGGCTTCAGACACGTAGAATTCCAATGCCCCTTCGCTCGGACCCGTGGACGAGGGACGGCAGCTGCCGTCGCAGCGCGCCGCGGGCCGCGCACCCGCAGAGCGCCTCTCAAATTTTGGGCAGAAATCATCCCCCGGCCGCTTACCCGCGGTGTTGGGAATGAACCTAGGGTCTCCCTTACAAAGGAAACTATTGGGGATTGTTTACAGGGGTCATTCCCTCATTCCCTGCTGAGCTGAGAACCAGCAAGTTGTGTAGTTGATTCCAAAGCCCGAAAAAGTTAGAACACAAACGCAGCAGGCAAAAAAGGGCACTGGCAGAGGCGTCCTTTTGGTAACATAGATGGCACTGACAAGTGCAATGAAACCAGGTAGCCAATCAAAACAACCAACTGAGAGCCAATCAAACCCGGGCACCTCACTTCCTGCCAGGCCTTTCTCATAGGTCAAAATGTCCCCTGTCCCCAGCCGACCGGGGCGACTCGGCGCCTTCAAGTCGGCCCCCACGAAGCCGTGGCAGCGCCGCGCCAGCTGCCGCTCCTCGGCCTCCGAGAGATGATGCTGCAGAAAGCCTCGGCGCGAGGCGGCCGGCGGAGGCGGGGGGGGGGGGGGCGCGGCGAAAAAAGAGAAACGCGGTGGGTTGGTTTGGGTGGGGTCGGGGTTGGAGTTGGAGTTGGGGTTGGGTTGGTCTTCATGTTTGCAACAATAAAATAAATCCAAGCTGACATGAAGATTAGATCTGGTAAAGGACGTAACTCAGGGAGCTCGTTTTGCCCCGAGGTGAGTTCGCCGCAAGGGTGCTCGCGGCAAAGTGGGCAAATGGGAATACAAGCATTAAAACAATGGGGGGGTCCTATAACCACCATTTTTTACCTGAGCTTTCATCTGGCGTTGGGTCCTGGCGACTTTGATAAGCCTAGCATGAGGTCCCAAGGGGCCAAACCAGAGATGTCCCGCAAAAACCCTGGGTTTAAGTAGGTGTCAGTTTGTTGAGATCCCCTTGGAATGTTAGTGGTTGCAAGGGTATTTGTTGATGCCGTGTTTCACGTTCTTTTTGTTTTCGGATGGGACCGTCTGCATCCCCATCCGCTTTCGTGAAATCCGTTGGTTCCGCTGGTCTCTGGCATGTTGGTTGCTGACTTCTCGAGCTTCGGGTGGACAAGCGTGCCTGACAGATCGGAACGTATGTCCCTTGTCTCACGTCGCCGATTTTGTCAAGCACAGTTGCGACGTCTTCAAGGCATTAAAGGGGCATGTAGTAGGTGCTTCATTTTGTAAGATGTGATTCGTTTGCAACTTCATCCAAGATCTCCTGGCTTTGCCTAACCTGCAACAACGTCTGGTTTTGGCCCTGATCATTTGAGGTGTGCAAGCAAGCTCGGCGGACGTAGCAAGCTTTCAGGCGTCACCCATCGCATTTGGCACGCCAAAAGAAAGCCTCCCTCAAGCCATCAGTCCCACAGCCCTGTCCCCAAGTGTCAGAACACGGGGATCCCAATCAATGCATCTCAAAACCAAGGAAATGGTTGACACTCCCTGCACACCGAGGCTTGACCCTGCTTTGAGAGACCAGGCTCAAGAAATTCAGGCTGCAAAGCGCGCATTTGGCCTCGTTCAGCAAAGCAGCCCAAGTGCACGCGCAGAATTTCCAGGCGTTCCTGACCAGGGTATGGCAGCAATACAATTGCGGTCGGTTTCATGTGCTTCCTTCAACCCATCCAGCTAATCCCAACGCAGGGCTCCTTTTTGGTTCCACTCAAACATCACCCAGCCTCCAGGAATCTCACTTTAAACTGGCAACCCAAAGGTGCAGACCAGGAACCATGCTTGCCTTCAAAAGGACGGGCCCAGCGGACTGCTTAACCTCCTGCCTTCCAAAAGCTGATTGACTCTTGACCACCCCAAAAAAACAAACAACGAAAACATGTGCGGTTCCCCAGACTCTCCTTCTTCTTCCCCTTGTCAGTCCAATCTAAAGCGAACCAAGAGGATGCACACGGTTCTCTCTTCTGCACCTTCGAAGGGCTTTAAATCCCCCAACCCTGCTCAACCCCCGCTCCCCTCCCCTCCTGCACCTTGGGCTTGGGTCTCCGCGCCTCGGCGTTGGGCACCCCCACTTCGATCTCCCGCTCCAGGCGCCCGGACCGCCGCAGCGCAGGGTCCAAGGCCTCGGGGCGGTTGGTGGCCCCCAGCACCACCAAACCCGAACCCTCGCCGGAGTCGGAGACCCCGTCCAGGGCCGTGAGAAAGGCCGCCACCATCCGCCGCTCCTCGGGAAAGACCAATGGAGCGGCGAATATCTGAAGTACACGGGAGGATGTGTTTAACCGAAGAAATGATCTGGGGACGCGCCGAGTTCCCTAACTCACCAACCCGTTACACCACCCCGAAAGCCAAACCCGAAACCATCAACCCTGAAGCCAACCACCTCACAATTCTGCGACAAGCCCACCCTGACTCACTGAACGAGGCACCCCGAACCGGACGGAGTGGGACTTTAGGAGAGAACGTTCCGGGGGGGCTATGACTGACTTACAGCGATTTCATGAGTGCTGGGAAACGTATATTTCCCCCACTAATCCACTTCGCGTGCGGGAGTTCAACGCTCGCCGATGGTATCAAAAACAGGGGGCCCCCCAACCGGTGGCTGTCCTTTGAGGGCGGCCGTTGCACCAACCCAAACCCGCCACCCGAGAAAGGCACAAAACGCACGCCCACATCAGTCGCGCCGAGCCGCCACCTCACTGGCATCATCCCGTTTAGGACAGACCGCATCGATCTCGTCGATGAAAAGCAGCGCCCCCGTGCCGCGCTCGCGGGCTTGCTGCCGGCAGTTCTGGAAGGCGGCTGCAATCCTTTCCTGGTGAAAAAAATCCACACCGACCCATTCGCAGTTGGTCTGTGAGCACAAAGGTCTACAGTGAAAATCATAACTAGACCGAACTATCTCCCCCCCCCCTCAGATCCCCAAATCAAAGTTTCAAAAGTTTGGCGAGATTGAGCCCCTCCATTTCCATTCAGCTCCCCTTTCTTTAAACAAGAGAGAACTTCTCCATCCGCCCCTCTCTAATGTTGAACCCCATATTCATCAAGCCCGGTCCACATTCACCAAACACATCGATGCGTCGGCTTCGTCTTTTCCCCCGCCTCAGACTCCCCCACGCCGGTGCCCACCAAATCCGTGGCGGCCAGCAACTCGCAGAAGCAGCCCAGATCCGCGGCCAAGCTCTTGGCTAGCAACGTCTTCCCCGTGCCTCGAGAACGCACGCGCGCGGAAAGAGCGGTGAGGTGGTGGACGGTGGCTGGTAAAAAAAGGGAGAGCTCTTTGGGGAAAGACAAAAAACAAAACTACGCCCCCCTTTTTCTGTCAAGTTGTTGTTTGTTTACTACCTTCCCTGAATTTGGTTGATGTTTTTGGGACTTTTTTGCCGGCTGAGTGCGAAACAACCCATCTTGAAGGGTCAATCCGATGGGTGTGAGCTTCGGCTGGACGGGGGTGGACATCACGGGAGACTTCTGCAATCACCCGCCGTTTGGAGGCGGAGCCTGTTCCCAAGACTCACAGCCCAACGATTTGCCTCTCAGCCCGGTGGCGTTGGTACCAAAACCGAAATCCATCGGCCAAGTCCATCAAAAAATACGTGAGCGTCGGAAGCCACTTCAAAGGGAAGCCAAAAGCTTGACAAACCCTGGGTACCTGGCCGCAAACGCGCTTGTGTCAAAATCGGGGAACCCCTAACATATGGTTTTCGCTTGAAAGAAGGGCATGCCTCAAAAGACGAGCATCCACATGGACCCTTTCTTTTCTGTCTAAATCTCTTTACGAACCATTCTCCACATGTTCCCTGTCCCCGGCCTGCTTTGAGTCTCCCCACCCAAAAATGGGGGGCCCCCCAAAAAAAACAAGAAAAGGTCTAGGTTCCTTTTGGTTCCCTCTTAAACCACCCCACCCGCCCAAAAAATTGGATGCCCTCCAAAAAAAACATGGAGCACACCCCCAATCTCCCACCCCTGCAGTCTTTTCGCGCCCCATCCGCCTGGGGGCCCGTAGAGGAGGACGCCCTTGGGCGCCGAGATCCCCATCTGGCGGTAGAGCTCGGGCCGCTGCAGCGGCAGCTGCACGGCCTCCCGAAGCTCCTCCACCACCTGCCGCAGGCCGCCCACCGAGGCCTGCACAGAGCGAAACCGTGGGGAGGTGGCGGGGGCGGGGGGGCGATGTTTCGGGGGATGGGCGAAATTCCTGCATCTTTGAAACCATGGGAAACCATGGTTTGTTGGTATTTACAGGGGAATCATCATTCCAGGATTTCTAAGGGGGGGAGGGGGGGGGGGGGGTGGGAGGGAGGTTGATGTTTAGATGATATTGTGCAGTTTTCTGAGCGCTCTAAAGGGAAACCAAAAAGAGAATGGCATTTGGCCTGTGTACTATTGGTTGGTTCGCTCCTTTTAGATAAAAGCTATAGGAAACAAATGGCTTATTGGCAACTACTCTATTGGACTAGTCCTAGGTCCTTCATTTCGTCCTTCTTCGGCAGGCCTCTAGAAACATCCACGTACTACCCGCGGACAGCGGCGCGGAGCCCCGCCTCCAAGGAGCCGGCGTGAGGCAGTGCCTCGTTTGGCCAAAAGCATCGGCGGAGAGAATCCACTCGGGATGGATGAAACCCTGTCCGACCATCAACAGTGCCGTCCTACCGTCGTACCGTCGCACCAAGACGCCCCAGAAAAGACCATGCGTATATCTGTGTGTATACATATATATATATATATGTATACATATTTCAATTTTAACACTCCTTTTTTAGCCAAGGCACGGGAGTCCCTTCCAGCCCCAGCCTCAGCTGGGTTTTCTCCACCACGAGCCAAGGGCCAGGCCAGTCCTTCTCCTTCCCGCGGCAAGTCCGGATGGCCACCTCTCAGGTGTCTCACAAGGATGAATGGCCAGGAGTCGAAAACGAACACCATGGCAACTCGACCCAGGTTCTTCTCTTGGCAATTTTAAATGGTGTCCAGCTTAACTGGATGGCTTGTAAAGCCTCAACCTGAATTAGGCAGGCGTGCGAGTGAACCAAGGACCAGTCCCTGATTGATGCGATCATCACTGAACAATATGTGGCTCAAACACCAACGTGTTTCTCCCGTTTTCAGCTTTGTGTGACATCATGGTCGTGGAAAACCGCCCTTTCTGTGATACCACTATATCACTTTGAAGTAAGTTTGTTTGGTATGACAGAACATGGCCACCGCCCACCCTACCCCCAGCCCCCCCCTCCCCCCCCACCCAACCCAAATTCCCCACCCGGAAACAACCCCGACCTCCACCCCCTTGTGAGAGGGATCATACCCTATGTGTCGTTCTGGCTGGCCTCAGCTGGTCTTGCAGGGCAGGTGAAAACAAATTTCAAGTTGGAAGTTAAACTTGTTGTAAATTGACTCAATTATCGGAAATGAATTCCAATCATTGCAATAATTGAAAATCCGGGACCCCCCAAGTATTGCAATCATTGCAACTACTGCAAGTTTTGGAATTCAATTCCTGATAGAAGGCCCAATCTGCCAAATGCTTGTGATCACTTTGGGTGTTTGATTGATGCTTGGAGCCGCTGCACCAGCAGCAGCAAGACCTACTTGTGTCTCTTGTTCCTTTGCAAAGCACGCTGAGTTTGACTCAGGTGACCACCCCCCACCCGAGCCGCCTCCCAGGCTCGTCCATTCAAAGAGATCAGCCTGAGGTCCCCCTCCACCACCAGCGCGCCCTCCAGCACGGCCTTGACCCCGAACCCCCGGCCCCGGTCGGACCGGGCGATTCACGGATGAAAATCCACACCGCTGGACGTGTTTGCTGGGGATCTGGGCTTGGGGGTAGCTGGTTTGTGAGGGCCCTGTACTACCTTTGGCTTCCTGGTGGCTCCGAATGAAAACCCTGTAATTCCCTCCAAAAGCGTGGCGTGTTTACTGCTGGTCTCCCTATATATATATATATATATGTATATATATATATATATGAATCCTCTGATATCGAGTTGCCTTTGCGTGATGAGCTAGCAAAAAAAACTTTAATGTGTTATATGTTAATGAACCTAGCTCATACAATCAGTAACTATATCGTTAGAATATGTTTTGCTAGATTCAATGATAACATTATAGCCCCCCTCAAATGTTGTTTGAAACAATTAAAAAACTGTTTGGAACAAAAAACATCGAAAATTGAATAATATATATATTTTTATATTCATAACAAAAACATGGGAATTCATAGTATTCTGCCAGAAGCTGAAGCTTCCCTATTCCTGAAGCTTCCTCGGAGACCCAAATGGCTGGTATCCTCTTGACTTTGGACTGAACAACACCAATAACAGGGCACCAACTCTGAAAGAGGACAAGCCCAAATAGATCCTAAAGGATGGGGGTCTACCCGAGCATCGACCACAATTTACCCTTGACCCCTGCATTTTACGTCACTCACTCTCTTTTGGGGGTCGATTTGACTAAGGTAAAATGAGTCCTGATCAAAACCTGGTATTAAAATGGTCTACCCAAAACTATGTAAATAAGGACTTAACACGATGTCTTCACCCGGACACCCCAGAATAGTGGGCTTTCCTTTCGCTGTCCCTTGCTTGAACCCCACCCCGAAAAAAGCGGCACCATGCAAAAACATACCAGCCACCCATCGAGGTTCTGCTTGTGGCGGCCTTGATTGAAAACCACCAAGAAAACAGGCACCATCCACAAAAAAGCAGACCAGCCACCCATCTACCCGCCCGACTCGGGAAAAACTGCTTCACCAAACCAACCTATGATACCATCCAAAAGAAGAAAGGAGAAAAACAAAAAAGTAAGAAAAAAAGAGGGGAAAAAGCAAAAACGAAACCGGCCACCCATCTACCCATTCGACTCCGGGGGGGCAGAAGGGCCTTGAGGTACTTCAGCAGCTGCAGCTTCCCCGCCATGCGCGGCCACTCGGCCGCCAGCGCCGCCGCGTCGACCCACAGCTCATTCGCCTCCAAGGCCTCGAAGTCTCGCAGCACCTGCAGCCCCCCAAGCGGCTCGAAGGTTTTTCTTTTCTTTTTAAGTGTGTTGGATGTATGAGTTTATCTATGTATCCATCTATCTATGTGTTATTTACGCAGTTGCTTAAAAAAGAATTGATTCAATGCTTTAGGTACTGTGTATTTTGTCGATTTGGTCATTTATTGATCTGTGTGTTTACTTAGTCAGGTAGTTAGTGAGTGAGTGAGTGAGTGAATTACCGCAAAGTACGTATTTCTTTTTTGTGTGTTGAATATGTGTATGTTCATCCCTATATATATTGTTATATGAATAGTAAACCCCAATCCCAATACGAGGGGTTGTTCATTTAAGTATTTAGAAAAAGAGGCATGCGAGGATTGTTTGAATTACACCCAGAAAACCAAGGGAGGCGTAAAGCCCGCCTTTGGAATCGGGATATCAACCTTTTTAAGGGGTTCGGAAAGATCCCTGCGGAGAAAAAACAAAAGCTGGGTTCCCAGGTCGAGCATCAGCACCAAGGAACACAACGCACACGACTCGAACTTGGTCAATTACTGCTGTGCAACGCCCCTCCCCCCCCCCCCACAGGGTTTACATGTGTATATATATATAGTTACTTATTTAATTTATTTATTTATTTATGTATTTATATTTATATTTATTTATATATATGTATATGCACCCCCCCCCCCCCATGCACCCTGGTTTTGCTGCCTTTTGGGATGGTAATCTAGAATCTCGAAATTCTCGAAATGTCCAATTGTGGGTCCCCAAAGCCTCATAAGAAACCCAATATCATACCCTTTCCAAATAGGATTGTACTTCAACTAGAATTAGAGTTTTGAATATAATTTGGTTAAGATGTAGTTTTCAAAAATGTGTTTATGCTCAACATTGCTCAACTACAGCTTATATAAGCAAATCCTTTCCAAATAGGAGCTGCATGAGAATATAAGTATAGTTTCGGGCAAACTGCAACTAATCTTCAAGCTAGATAGGAGTTTATTCCCAAATATAATCTAAGTGTTAGATAAAATCTAATACGAACACAACTCAATTAGCTTTTGATAATAACAATTAAATAGAAATTCGAATAACTATTTGTGTTATTTATATCCTGGCCCGTTTGCAGCATAAGACAGGTCCGAAATTAAACTTGTTAGACGGTGTTCCAAAAGGAAATTTCAAGGGAAGAGATGTTCAAATTCTAAAACTATTTCGAAACAGGCATTCTAGCTGAATCAGTTGTATTTAAAATTATGTTTGCACAGGAAAACAAAATTAATTCTATCTCAAAAGGTGGAGGTAGTCGATTAGCAAATGTGGAGAGGTAGTTCAAGAGGGGGGGAGTGACTGTGTGTGTGTGTGAACATACATATGTATATTCATATATACATACATACATATATAGTACCCTAATGATCCTGCGCCTCTTCATACAATACTGCAAAATACAGTGTTTTTGAGCATTTTGCCTACCTTTGTTTACCTCCTGGAAAAGGGTCAGCATGCTTCATAGCTAACATGAAGCAAACCGCTCACCCAAAGCACTTGAGAGTGTGTCTAACTAATAACTTGAAAGTGTTTCCACTGGATCGCTAAGCATTTGAAAGTATTTTACCTCTGGATGGAAAAAAAAACAAGATTGAAGATTACACAGAAAACTGTCCTGAGAATTGTCAATCCTGGCCAAACCCAAACAACATTCAGGTTATTCTCACACTTGAAAGTGTTTTACCACTGGATTGAGAATTCAAAATCGAGGATGGCACAAACAACAACTTTCCTGAGAATCATCCATCCGGGTCAAAACCTAAAAATGATCAAGTTATTCTAAAACTTCGAACGTATTCTACCACTGGATTGAAGATTCGAGATTGAAATAGTTCACGGAAAGCTTTTCCGATATTTTTTTTTGAACACCGAGAGTATTGGGACAAACCTGGAATTGCTAAACAAAAAATAACATCAGGGATTCAAGATTCCCAGAAAATATTTTCTCTGATTCTTGAATCTTGAATCCATATTTGTGTTTGACATTTTTAAAAATTATGGGATTCATGATTCAAGATTCAAGATTCCCAGAAAATATTTCCTCAGATTCTTGAATCTTGAATCTTGAATCCAGGAAATTTAAAAACAAACAAAAAACCTGAGTTGTTCTAATACTCTTGGATGTATTCAAACTCTTTCAGATTGCAGATGCTCATGTCATCGCTTTTGTCACATATGTGTCATATATACATATGGCGCACCCCTAATTTTGACACAAAATCCAAGAAGCAAAAAACGCACACAACACTGGAAAAATACAGGTCAAACGCACCAAACCAGGGTCCATGGGGGGGGTACCATACATATATACATATATATACATATATACATATATATATATATACATATATATATATATATGTATGTATATACATATATATGTGTGTATGTATATATATGTTTCTGCTCAATCCAAGCCCTCCAAGCAAGGTTCACGTGATTCGCCTCCGGGGCGCTGTGACCTCATCGCCTTCCTTCACTTCCAGGGACCCCAGCGCCGCCGCGCTCAGGAGCAGCTCGCCGCTCGAGGCCTTGCCCGAGGCTTCGCAGGCGCAGACCGTGCGCTTCGCCTTGGCGCAGAGCAGCACCACATCCCCCGGCGCCAGGCCCAACAGCTTCAGGTCCTCCAAGGGCTGTGGAAAACAAAACCTTACAGTACCTTGGTGTGCCTGAAAACCAACAAAGGGTACGCTCAAGAAAGACAAACCCACTTATGTATATATAGATATGTATAATGTATATAAGAATGTACATATATATATATAATATATTTGTTCCAGTCCCCAGGCCGCCTACCCCCCCGCCCCCCAACCCCGAGTCTCCGGCTCCCCAGACCCCGCTGCTACAGTCCTCCAGACCCCCTCCTCCAACCCCCTGAACTCGCACCCTTGCATCGTAGGACAACTCAACCCGCAACCAACCCTAATCAAATCCCGCTGCTACCGTCAAACCAAACCTAAAACCAACCCCAAACTCACCCTAAACCCCCCGTACACCAACCCTTCACCACCCTGAACCAACCTATACCCACCCTAAACCAACCCGGGTAACCCTAAGCCAACCGTAAACCAACCCCACACTATCCCACCCTGGACTGAGAGCCATGCAAAGCTTTGCTTCCCCTCCCCACTTTGCAGCCTTCAATTGGTTTCCCATGTACCCTCCACAAGAACCAGGGATTCAAGCCCCCAAATCACCAATCCAAACCCACCAATTGAAGGGTACCTGAACTTTTGCGGCTGTAGAAGTAACGCGCCGTCCTTGCTCGGCAAGTGCGCAGTGGGCCCGTGCCCTGCGCCTTTTGAAGTGCCAAGCACTCGCCAAGTGCCGGGAGCGCCGCTTCCAGCCGCCTCCGGAGCTTTCCTGCCCCCCGGCATCTGCCATCTGGCCAGCACCTAGGTGCGTGTCCCCATCTCTATGATTGCACTGTCCGCGTGCCTATGGGTAACTCTGTGCCTGCATTGTGGCGCTGCACGGGTTGTTGGTTGTTGTGGCTCATTGCAGCTCCAAAACCAGGCGGCCCAACCAGACGGCCCATGAGGCTGTCTGCTGTGGCACCTTTGCGTCCGCAAACCCGTGCGTACAACATCTGCGTATTAAGAGTTATCCTTGCTGGAAACGATCTGATCATCGCTTGAATTGTTGATGCGAGCAGCTTGAGGGTTCAGTGAGTTGCAACTCAGAGTCCAATGAGGATGGTTCAGCTTTCTCTTAGAGCTCCAGAAGATAGCAATATTGACATATCTACAATACTAGATACTGCCCTTTGCTATCAACTTAGAAGAAATCAAGCCTGACTTGTGGTGGCGCTCACAAGGTGCACGCTGCTTTTCCGCTCCAGCAGCATCTATGAAATGCACATGAGGATAAACACCCTCATGTGCAATTCAATGAGACACAAAAATCACGCCGTCGCCGACAAAATGTCAGCTACACCTGACGTTCAGGCAGCTGACGCAAAGGCCAGGAGCAGAAATCTCACCCGACGTGGAGCGCATCCTGGCCATCCGACATCCATGCAAAGCAAGGTCCCACTGCACAATCGGGCGTTTGACTGTATCAACTCCAAGAGCATCTCTGCTAAGATATGAGCAGCCAGACATGGGACAAGGGCAATGCTGCCATAACCAAACATGTGACTGAGGGCGGCAATAGATTGAATATAAAAACGAAAGAGAGAAAAGAAGGACGAAAAGAAACAAAGAACAACGGAGTGGATGCTCCAGTCGAGAGAAGAAAATATTATTAAAACAAACATGGAAAATCACGCACAGTATATCTCAAAGGGACTGGTCTGCCCTTTTCATCCAACAGTCGCCCTATTTTCAGACCCCATCTGGCGCGAGTCAGGAGAGAAGTTGGCCGTCCTTCTGCCAGCCTTGCCGCATCGGCATCTGTCCGAAGGAGACCTGACGAATGTATCTGGGCCCAGGAAAACCAATGGTCCATGCTGTCAACGGGACACGCAAAGAAATGGTTGGTGATTATAGTGCAATGTGAACCTTGCAGAGCATTGTACTGTGTGCTATGATGCTACACTCCTTCACGTTGCAAGATTGCAGTGCTGAGCCATTCCAACATAGTGCATCATTACGTCATGTGTTTAAATGCTTTCTGCCATGTGACACCACCTGCATCCCAAGGTGTGTTGAATGTGCATAGCAAATCACTGCACCGCCGAAGGTCACGAATCAACAAATTGTGTTCCATTCGAGCCCAGTCCATTGCATTCATCAGACTCATTTTTCTTCATTGCACGATTGTCACCTCCACACACGCAAACAAACAAACAAACAAACAAACAAACAAACAAACAAACAAAACAAACAAACAAACAAACAAACAAACAAACAAACAAACAAACAAACACACAAACACACAAACACACACACACACACACACACACACACACACACTTAAACTCCAGATGGAGAGTGCTAATCTTTCGAGTACAACGGATGAGTCTCGAGTACAACTGGTGAGTCTCGAGTATGATGAGTTTCGGCTCGCAAGACGCTTGGTTTCCGCGGGCAAAGAGGGGACCTTGTTGGGGGAGTCCTCTGGCTGCCCACGACGGGGCCCAAGAGCGACTCGATGCAGGTACATAGCTGAGCGTCCCCAGCCACCTCCCTTCCAGTGACCTAGCTTCGTTGGACCAGGTCAGTCACTGGAAGCCTGATCCCCCTGCTACTCATGGTGGTGACAGGGCATTCTGTCACTCCGCACACACACGCCCCTCGATGAGGGGCGAGAAGTCTCTTTCCGGGGGGAGAAAAAAAACACACGCGCCCCAAAAACCGGGCGAAGACCCCAACAGAAAACAAACGGAGCAAGGGAGCCCAAAAGAAACAGAAAGGCCCCAGGTTGGGTCACCGCGGGCAAAACCCCAAACAAGAAACAAGAACAACGGGGAAGCCAGGTTTCGGGTCTCCGAGGGCAACAACCCCAAACAGCGCAAAACCGACCTAGACCTTGTAGACGAAAGGGGCCGCGAAGGCAAAGAGGCAGAAGAGGAACAGGCCATCCCTAACCGGGCGAACAGGAAGTACAAGAGATAGCCCAGAGAGGGAAAGAAAAAGAAAGGAAAGAAAAGAAAGGGACGAAAGAGAGAGAGAGAGAGAGAGAGAGAGAGAGAGAGAGAGAGAGAGAGAGAGAGAGAGAGAGAGAGAGAGAGAGAGAGAGAGAGAGAGAGAGAGAGAGAGAGAGAGACAGACACAGAAAGAGAGAGAGAGAGAGAAAGAGAGAGAGAGACAAAAGCGTATTTAGGGCGTCGCAACCGCCCGGGGGAAAAAGAAAGGAGCAGGGTGCGTATTTAGGGCGCCGCATCCCACCCGGGAAGAAGGAACAAGAAGCAGAAGGCAAGGAGACAAAAAGGGGGAGAAAGGAAGGAGGAAGAAGGAAGAAGGAAGAGGAAGAGGGAAGTAGTAGTATGCGTTTTTAGGGCGACGCATCCCGCCCAGACAGGAACAGAGGATGAAGACCAAGGCTCGCGGAGAAAGACGTCGAATCCCACTCAGGGGCCAAGAGGACGGACCCGAAGTAGCAACGGAAGGGGAAGAAGACGTCAAGCCAAAGTACGTGAGGAAGAAGAGGAGTAGGAACAGGAAGACAGACACGAAGACGAAGACGAGGAAAAAGGTGAACAACGCGAGGACAACCAGGCCATCCCTAAGCGGGCGAACAGGAGCGGGACGAACGCGCGGGACACGAAAGGCAGCAAAAAGAGAACGGGAGGAAGGAGAAGCCATCCCTAAGCGGGCGAAGAACCAGAGGACGGGCACGCGGATGAAGAAGGCGAGAAGAAAGAACGTAGGGTGAGACGTATCTATGATCTGACGGCTGTCTTCCCTTTAGTGAAACCTCGTTCCTGATTAAATCTGAAATTCCGCCGTTCTATGATAAGCACGTTGAGGTCAAATTTTCCGACAGAGCCGGCCCGGGGTCACACAATGGGTACACCCGAGGATTCCCCACGAATGGGGTGTACACACTTAAACTCCAGATGGAGAGTGCTAATCTTTCGAATACAACGGATGAGTCTCGAGTACAACTGGTGAGTCTCGAGTATGATGAGTTTCGGCTCGCAAGACGCTTGGTTCCCGCGGGCAAAGAGGGGACCTTGTTGGGGGAGTCCTCTGGCTGCCCACGACGGGGCCCAAGAGCGACTCGATGCAGGTACATAGCTGAGCGTCCCCAGCCACCTCCCTTCCAGTGACCTAGCTTCGTTGGATCAGGTCAGTCACTGGAAGCCTGATCCCCCTGCTACTCATGGTGGTGACAGGGCATTCTGTCACTCCGCACACACACACACGCACAGACACAGACACAGACACAGACACAGACACAGACACAGACACAGACACAGACACAGACACAGACACAGACACAGACACAGACACAGACACAGACACAGACACAGACACAGACACAGACACAGACACAGACACAGACACAGACACAGACACAGACACAGACACAGACACAGACACAGACACAGACACAGACACAGACACAGACACAGACACAGACACAGACACAGACACAGACACAGACACAGACACAGACACAGACACAGACACAGACACAGACACAGACACAGACACAGACACAGACACAGACACACAGACACAGACACAGACACAGACACAGACACAGACACAGACACAGACACAGACACAGACACAGACACAGACACAGACACAGACACAGACACAGACACAGACACAGACACAGACACAGACACAGACACAGACACAGACACAGACACAGACACAGACACAGACACAGACACAGACACAGACACAGACACAGACACAGACACAGACACAGACACAGACACAGACACAGACACAGACACAGACACAGACACACACACACACACACACACACACACACACACACACACACACACATCCCGTTGCACAATCTAAGGCAGTAGTACGTGAATATGTATAAGCCTATATGTCCATGTAGTGTTGCATTAATCAACTCCCTTGACATCTGATGTAACGATACGGTACAAAATCGGGTATCTGTCGCTACCTTACCTAGTGAAAGGGCTTCTGGCCTCTGCATTTGGTCTTGCAGCATATGCCTTCACCCAGCCCTCTGGCTGCTACAGGTAGTGCCAGCGGGATCAACTCGGAAACAACTGAAACATCGAACCTGGTATTACAGGAGTCACCGGATTTCACCTTCAAAGGTTGCCGTTTACTGGTGGGTTCCCTTGAAACTGCCATTTTCGGGGAGCTACCCAAAACCCTGAACCCAGCGGGTTTCCAGCCGATTGGGGGGGGAAGACTGGTCTCTCGCCTCCATGGTAATGGCCGGCAAGAGCTGCCGGAATTGACCCAGCGCCTCGAGAAGACAAATCCAAAGCAACATGAGTAGCCCCCAGGTTCAACTTCCTCGTTTTGTCTGAAATCCAAAGCTCAGCATGGGTCTCTGCAAGACTGCAGACATCTCGCGAAGGAACTTGGATATTCAAAATTCCCATCCCGATTCATCTTCATCTTCTTGGGGGGGGGGGGCGCACGTGTTCCGCATTGCCAATACTGTCACTGAAGGGGCCAATTTGCGTATGTTGTTAAGATAGTGAATAGGCTGAATAGGGGCGGGTGGCATCATTTGTTATTTCCTGGTCATGGGCAGGGAATACTGGAAGACTACAGCAAGAGAGGAGGTCTAAGAACAGAATACAGGAAGTTCACGAAAGGGAAGACTACAGGACGCGGCACGGGGGGGGGGGGGGGGCTTGCTATGATTATTATTATTATTATTATCACGGCTATTGTCATTGCAAGTGGTATTGTTATTCTTGTTATTACCATTGTTATCATGGTCAGCATTATTATGTTTATCATTATCATTGGTCTTATTAAATGTCATACTATCTTTCAAAGAGTGAAATTGGGGGGGACACTATTATTACTATTATTATTATAATAATGAATGAAATGGAGGCGGCAATATGGTTATGTCCGAATTGAACGGACATGTGCCGGAGAGACTACAAGACGTTCTGATGGTTCTGAGGCAATGATGAGATGCCGGGCTGGCATGATTACCTCTAAAAATATGGCGTGAGGGCAGATCTGGTCGAGCTGCTCTAACAGCTGGTTCTCTCTTTGGATCTTGAAAGCGATGGAAACCAAAGATGACGGCGTTTGTGTCTTGGCAGCTGCCAATATGCATCAAATGCCGTCATTGCTGGAGGTGGTCTTGCAGCAGTTGACCTGGCGTTGAGTTGAGTGCAACATGCAAGCAGCTGGTCTGCTCGAGCTGCTTCTCTCTTTGGATCTTGCGGCACACATCCAAAGATGACGCTGTTTGATGTGTTCCGGCACCCAAAACGCGTCAAAAGGTGTCATTACTGGAGATGATCTGGCAGGATTTGGCCTGTGGCAGGTGGAGCGCAACATGCGAGCAGCAGATCTGGTCGAGCTGCTCTAACAGCTGGTTCTCTCTTTGGATCTTGAAAGCGATGGAAACCGGCCCGCCTTCAAAGATGACGGCGTTTGTGTCTTGGCAGCGGCAAATATGCATCAAATGCAGTCATTGCTGGAGGTGGTCTGGCAGCAGTTGGCCTGGCGTTGAGTTGAGTATTTTGGTCGCTTTCGGGGCCGGCTGTTGCGCTGGTGGTGATCGCTTTCAGGTAAAGGTAAGCGCAGGACAGGTTGGGCTGGAGTATTATTGGACATGTTATCTTTCCGACTTGCTGGACACAGCTCACAGACTCAAGCGTACCTTGCCAAGGTGCCTCACCGCCTTGGACAAAACAACTGATGTTTGTTTGTGCCGCGCGCAGCATTCACAAACTGGGCGACGGCTGAAAAAGCTCATGTTCTTCCTTCTTACGCGCGCGGAGCTGAGCCTTGTGAGGTTTGGCTGTGTTCATACAGCGTTCAGCAGGTCAGAGTTTAGAGTGGGCGATGAGTGAAACGGCTAACATGCTGGCTTTGTAGTGGGTGCTGGCCAAAGGGGCGTCAAGTTGTCAACTTTTTGTTCTTGGTGTAGCATCGTTTTCCTGCAACCTTAATCTTCAAGCAAGAAATGCCTCACCCCGTCCCCAGTGTGGGGCGGCAGGACACACGCGAAAAGTGTTTGAACTGTTTTTGAAATAATAATCCTGCCACCCTGCTTGCATGTTGCGCTCCACTTGCCACAGGCCAACTCCTGCCAGACCACCTCCAGCAGTGACGCCTTTTAACGCGTTTTGGGTGCCAGAACACATCAAACGGCGTCATCTTTGGACGTGTGCCGCAAGATCCAAAGAGAGAAGCAGCTCGAGCAAACCAGCTGCTCGCATGTTGCACTCAACTCAACGCCAGGTCAACTGCTGCCAGACCACCTCCAGCAATGACTGCATTTGATGCATATTGGCAGCTGCCAAGACACAAACGCAATCATCTTTGGAGGCAGGCCGGTTTCCATCGCTTTCAAGATCCAAAGAGAGAACCAGCTGTTAGAGCAGCTTGAGCCGATCGCAGCAACTAAAGCCCTTCCCAGGCAAGGATTCTTCAACTCCCAGTCCCCAATGCATTTCACAAAGCCGCTCGGCTTTTTCTGTTGCCTCGTCCTCTTCCAGGCGCCTGGCAAAAAGGCGAAGACGCCAAGACGCAAACCTCCGACGCAGGGTGAAAATGGGCCCCTCATGGGGGATCCTGGCTCTTCTGACCCGGTGGGAACCCCACAGGGCGCTTGGGCGCTTGGCTTTATGAAACCCCACAAGGCCCTCTCAAGCACAGGGAGCTTGGAGTCTGAGACACTGGACATTGAAGTTGCATCTGACGGGCAGTTTTTTTGCACCAGAAGTCTGGGCACCAAGCGATGCCCAGAAACGCCATGAAGTGGGCTATCAATGTGGACAAAGGTCGCATGGTAATGAGTAGCAACAGGTGAGCCCGCTTCCGGAAAAGCCTGAGGTGGACACCCACAAGTCACGCGCCCCCCACCGAATCGGGACAAAGTCATCAAACATGATTCAATGCCGCATGCAACCTCCTCACTCCTCAAATACATCATAATAACTGGGGCGTTCCCAGATCCAAGTCTAACTTTCAGTGGTTTTGTGTTGAAACTACCACTAGACCAACTAAAACCCAAAGAACCCAAGAAACCGGACGGCTGGGAACCACTAATAAGCACCCACACCCATGTCCGACTCCCAGCCTCTTCCGGCTCTCTTTGCTGCCAAATGCGAAGCCATGCTTGTCCAAACCACGGGTGGGCCGTCGAAATGTGAACGCGCCATAAAGCATTGATCCCCGCGCCATGTGCAAGACCTGAGGCGAATCGGGGCACGACAGCGCAACCCTGGCGCTTGAAAATGAATCCAACCTGACTGATCAAACTTTGTGTTCCTCTCCTGCAATCTTTGTGTTCCTCTCCTGCACGCCATGGATAACAGGCTGCATGGCGCAGTTAACCGGCTGAGGGATTCAGAAGCGCTCGCTCGTGCAGAAGTGTGCAATTCTGCAGAAAAAGAGGGTACACAGAATGAATGAATGAAAGCAAGGAAGAAAGAAAGCGAATAAATAAAGAAAGAAAAAGAAAGAAAAGAAAAGAAAGGAAAGAAAGAAGAAAGAAAGAAAAAAGAAAGAAAGAAAGAAAAACAACAAGAAAACAAGAATGCAACAAATAATGAAAGGAAGGAAAAAAGACAAAAAGAAACGAAGAAGGGGAGCAAGGCAAGAAAGGAAATAAAGGCAAGAATGGAAAGAAAGGTAAAGAAAGGAAAGAAAGGAATGAAAGGAAAGAAAGGAAAGAAAGGAAAGAAAGGAAAGAAAGGAAAGAAAAGAAAGAAAGGAAAGAAAGGAAAGAAAGGAAAGAAAAGAAAGGAAAGAAAGGAAAGAAACGAAAGGAAGGAAAGAAACAAAAAAGAAAGAAGGAAAGGAAAGAAAGGAAACAAAGGAAAGGAAGGAAAGAAAGAAAAGAAGCGGAAAAAAAGGAAAGAAAGACAGGAAAGCAAGCGAAAGGAAAGGAAACGAAACGAAAGAAAGGAAAGTAAAAGCAAGAAAACAAGAAGGAACGGAAGCAAGAAGGAAAACAAAAAGAGGAGTCAGACACATACAACAAGAAAAGGGAGAAAGAGAGAAAGAGAAACATGCAGAAACATGCACAAACAGAAACACGGCACAAAGTATGTCTTTCGTTCCTCCCGATGGATTTTCCTAGGTTCGGAGTTGACGTTGAACTCATAGCGGAGACCACAAAAAGGGCCGGACCTGGGATTCACGGACGTAATTTCTGGACTGAACCTCCCGTACCCCTTCGTACCGGAACAAATATAAACACAAATGCCTGAACAACCAGAAAGGGGTGCCAGAAAAGGATCATCAGCTCATCATGTGCTTTTGTTTGGTCCGTACCCAACTAGCATACGTTCACCACCACCCCCCCACCACCACTCGAAGCCGTCAAGCGGCGATGGCGGCGGTGTTGCGGCTGTCCACCAGGCCGTCGTGGGCGCGGCCCGCGAAGTCTAGGCCGAGCCGCTCGACGCTCCTCTGGAGCCCCCGCGGCTCGAGGCGGTAGTGCCTGCGAAGGGGTGGGGGGGCGGCGGGGGAGGGGTGGCAGGGGGGTTCTGTCAAAAAGTCAACCCGGAGAAGTAGGGGGAGGGGGGGTATGCTGGACACTTAGGGCCTATGGTGCAACCTGCTTCATTTAGTTGCTGTTTTATTATTATTTTTCTGAGGGAGGTTTTCTGCCGAAAGGGCGGCCAAGAGGGCGGCGGATTTGCTATTGGGCCCCGATTTGTTGAATGGTCATTCACAGTGTGTTTTTGACAAAGTCCACTAGGGATGCGTCTGGTTTTGGCCCGTCTAAGGAGACAACAATTTGTTGGACATAGAGGAATCTGTGTGGGAATCTACCTTGGCGCCTAAGGGCCTAGCAAGGGATAGATGGCACTGGTATGCGAAGAAAACTGAAACTGGGATCCATTTTCAAACCGTCTCTGCCGCTCCGACTTGGTTTGGATCGGAGGTCTGGGGATTTGAACATCTAAGGGCGCACAAAGCCTCCCCTCCGAACCAGAAGCCTCCAAGCCTCCAAACCCCCGAAGAACTTAGGTATGTTTCTGCACGTGATTGTTTGTCTCAATATTCCTTTCTCGAAAACAAGTGGCCACGAGTAGCTTTTCTCACGGAACGTCAGATCTTGGCGGGTTACCATCACCCAATGGACATCCGCCTCTTGTAGAGGATCTTCAGGTCCACCCACTGGTCGAAGCAGCGGGGGATCTCCAACCCCTTGAAGCGCAACTCCCGCCCCAGCTGCCCGCCGATGTCCGCGTCCGACCAGGTGCAGAAGGCCCACCGCCCTTGCCGCGAAAGATCCGGCGAGACCAGGGCATGGGATTTCAGCCACTCCAAATACCTCGGATCCGGCGGGATTCTCGTTCTTTGAACTAAGGGACCCCTGAAAACAAAACCTGGTTCGGAGAATCGAGAATCCGGGCTGTTCCCAGATTCCCCCCAAAGAAAGTCGTTCTGGAAGTCAAAAAGCAACCCGCGATCACCGCAGGTTCAAACGCCCTCCCTCCCTGTGGCCAGGTCTTCTGCACACCCGAGCTTTCGGTTTCCGAACTAATGGGTGGCTCCTCTTTTTGGAGTTTGTACCCGTGAAATGGGTGGGCAATAAGGGCAATCCAAAGGACCAGTTTGCGGGGTTCGACTCCAAGAATAAAAACACGTAAATTTAAGAGACCCTCTAAACTGGGGATGTGGCGCTTAAATTGAAAACGGGATGCTGGGGCAAGACCTCTTGCAAGCATGGAGAGCTGTCAACCATCTCCTGCGTTATTCCGGTGAGCTCCACCGAAAACTTGGGCAGCCTGGGGTTCAGTGTCGGGCGAACGTAGGAGTTGAACTCATCCACAACCATGCTCTTGCTCCCATCCAAACGGACCAGCACAGAAGGGAACTGAGTTATCTCACTGATGGGCTTGACTGGCTTGCGGTTGTCCGCCGTCCACTCGAAGTCAAGAACTACCTCAACTGCTGCACACTTCCACACGAGTCGAACGTGCTATCTGTGGCACGCACCAGCTCAAAACTCCCTACTGTGGATGGGTGAAATCCTGCGCCGCCTAAGAAACCCTGGAATGATTCGACTCCCGAACATGGTTTCATTTCGTGGTGAGAAGGGATTTCGTATGTGGTCATGGCTCCCTTAAACGGGTCTACCATCCCTACCAACCCCAAGAAAGCAAGTTTGACCATGGCCTCTGAGTGCGGCGGCTTTCTCCGGTTGAACCAGACGCTGCGCAAACAACTCGAAAAGAATTTCAGCAAGATGGACAAGAGGCAAAACATTGACCAAACGAGACAGACATAACGAACAAACAAACAAACAAGCAAGCAAGCAAGCAAAGCAAAGCAAAGCAAAGCAAAGCAAACAAACAAGCCACTTGTTGCAACCACGGCGCCAGGTGCTCCAGCACAGGCTGCAGCGGCGAGCCCTTGCCCCGCCGGATCTTGAGATCCCGCGCGCTGGGTGGGCGCAAGGACCCCCAGCCTCGGCGAGGCTCGCCATCGCGCGGAGCGACAGGGGCAACGCCTGTGGAGGTTTGGAACAACCGTTGTTTGGGGGAAACAAAAGGGAAACCAAAGGAAAACCAAAGGAAAACTAAGGAAAGGTTGTTGTTTCAAGGCCAAAGGTTGCTTTAAAGGTTGGTTGCTTGGGCCCTCTATTTTTGACACACACACACACACCCGCCTGCGGGGACAGGTTTGTTGCCATCCAGAATCTCGTTGATGGTTGTGATGGGATCTCGAGTCTCCAGCATCCTCGAGATCGTCTCTCTTGGCACGCCGGGACAAACCTCTTGCACCTCGGCAATCCATTCTGCATTATCTTCCAGATCGATGACCGCCATCGCTCTCCCGTTCCCATGGGCAAACTCCCGGGCTGTGAGAGGGCCGTGGTGGAAATGTTGCAGGCTCTACAAAGGGTACAAATAATGCTGTTGACTTGAATGGCATGACATCATCAGCGAGAGTCCAATACAGTCGAGTTGCCAGGTCTTGGTCAATCAAGGCTACTGCCCTAGTTGATCGCCTTGATTTGAGTCATGTGGGGCATTAGCTCGGGCCCATTCGATTCCGTGGCCCTTGCGCCCGATGTGTCACCCCTGAAGCTCCACCGAGAGCCAAAGTTCCAATGTGGGAAAGCCCACGAAAAATGCATAGATCACGCTGTCTTTCTTTTCGCAATGTTTAACATGCTTGCATGTGCAAAATCAAGCGGTCGCGCGTACAATTCCTTAATTCAGGCTGGCTCCCACTGCAGTTTGTCGAGTTTTGCGCTGGGTGGAGCACTCCAATTGTGTCTCTCGGCTGTGGAACCAGCATCCAAATCCTTCAAGTGTGACATGGCCACCTTCTGTCTGGTTGGAGGCTAGTCAGGGAAGGCATTGCTTGCTTTATTGGTTGTGTCCAGATTCAACAAAGCCGTTGTCTTTGGCCTTGGGTTCCGGCAAGTACTGAAACCCATGCCTCCGCCGACATACAGCCTCCGCCTCCGGGCTGCCCGGCGCCCAGGCAGGAGACACAGGGCGTGGTGGAGATGAAGAGCTGCAGCAGTCCCTGGGTCCAAAACCAAACACCTGGCTGTGGGTCAAAAATCGGGTAACCCCACAATGGGTTGCCCAGGTAAATGGACACATGAAATGAAACCTGCGGTCCCCTGGTGGTTTAATTTTGACCCACAGCCACCTAACGAAGCCAGGCCGGGAAGCTTTCCCCATTGATCTAGGGGTTGATTCCTTTTCCATTCTTTTCAACCATCGTTCTTTCCAAGAACCTGCCGTTTTCCCTGGGTATCCGGAGGTTTTCTAGAAAGAAGGATCCCTGGAAAGAATGGGGAAAGGTACCCCTATAATTGACGTCTGGTTCATGGTTTGAACGCTTCATACTGCTGGAACCCCCAAAAAAATTGCCCGCTGGGGGTTGAGAGCTCTCTAATTCTTGCAATGGCAAAGGTACGCGCGACGTGCAGAACCCCCACCTCCACGGACTCCGCGCCTTGAGAAAGCCCGCACGCCTGGCCGAGGACACCCCAGACTTCTGGCACTCCCCGAGGCATCTTGTGCTTTGCGTTGCTCCGGCTTGCCCAGGTCCAATGGCTATCAACGAAACCTGCAGGAAAACAATCAATCGATCGTGCCTCAAGGTGGTCGCAAAGCTCCTACGCGCAACCAGCCCTTTGAAGGTCAAATCCCCGAAAATTTCGTGGAGCCTTTCTGGCCACCCCAGACCCAGCTCAGCGTCCAAACTGATGCGGAGATCCAACTCTGATCCAAAAGACGTAACAGGGAGCTAGAGGCACCAATCAAGCGCGGAAACATGCATGCCTATGGCCGACCCATCATTCTTGAAGGGTGACACTGTGGATGGACACCAGTTAGGATGGATGAAACAGTGAATACTGGGATACACCATATACGAGGGGTTGCACCCTACCCACCCGAGAATGATCAGTTGCCTTTGGAAGTTTGCAGAATGTTCGAGGACTCCTAACAAAAAGGTTGAGGCCCGAGGAACGCGCGATTCGATTAGACTCCGGTCTCGCTCCTCCAGCAGCTGGAACTCGCTGCAAAGGCTTCGGTCGACCAAAGCGCCCACCTGGCGGAGCTTTTGTGAGGCTCGCCTTGGGAACCAAAAAAAAACAGGCTCCCAGTTTGAGACACTGCACCAAAGGGGGACTTGTCAGACAGCACAACGGAGGGGTCATGATGCCTTTCAACGCGTATTGGATGCAGCATCTTTGGAGGTGTGCAGGCCTCCGAACTCCACCCATGACACCCTTTGACGTGCTTTGGCACTTCTCACGACCCTTGTAGTAGGCAATCCTGGCATGTCCCATACACGTCCTTTGTGAGGCATGAGATTCGCTAAAATGCCCATGCTGTTGTGTGTTTGAGGGTACACTTTTTGGGGTGGTTTCACAGGCAAACCAAAAGGACAACCACAATATGAATATTCCTCTCTTTTTTTGTTGGGGGGGGGTCCCTTATTGACACACACATAATATTTTCATATATATATATATGGCCATGTCAAACCAGCGTCCCACTCGCCTTGAGATGAGCCGCCCGAAGCCATCGGGCTTTGCCACCCCTCACAGCGCTTTTGGTCCAATACCTGGCATCCGATCAGATGCCGCGGGCCATGGAAGCGCTTCAGACGACTCGGATGTGGTTTCGTTTTCTGGCAGGTTTTGTTTTGAGCTTTTCTTTTAAACCAAAAATGGGGTGCCTTCAGAAAAAGACACACCATTTTGCTTTTGGAAGGGGTCCCTGCGCCCATCTTTGTTGTTCTCCCTTCGAGCGGGTTGTGCAAACAAAAGTTGCCACCATGCCCTTGCGCCCTAGCTTGTTCCTTAAGTCCTTCCAACTGGTCTGCAGATATAAAATGGGCATCGGTGGCTTCTGTTGGGAGATCTCTCATTTAGAGACAAACCCAAATGTCTGCAGTTGTGTTGTCCTAGATTGACACCTTCTCAGCCGTCGCCATCACAAAACAGCAGCCTGCTTGAACAAACCACCGCGTTGACTTTCGCAACTCTTGGCGCGCAGTGGGCGTGAAAATGTAGTTGGGGCCTAGGAGGCTTAGGTCCACCAAAGATGTTCCAAGGTTGGACGTGCGGCTGTTCTCAACATGGCCAAGGTGAAAACATTGAGGCCGATGAGGGTGATCCAACCAACGAAAACAAAACAGCACAAGGCAGCGCTCACGAAAAAACGGGCGCGAGGCTCGCCAAGCGAGCCATGGCGAACCCGTTCTCCCGGATCATGGCGCCCTCACAGCGTCTGCCCTGGCAGATGCATTTTCCTGGTCATGACTCAGGAGGGTATCTTTTTGGGCAAACCGAAAGGCATTTTGGAGGGTCGCCTCAAAAAGACACACCCATTGACTTATAGGCCCAAAAGTGATTCCCTTGAAAGGGTAGCACTCGCTCGGGCGGCTTTGACCAATGGCCTGGTGACAAACGGATTTGGGGCGACTCCTGCCAACGAATGCGTTCTACGGTGCCACCGATGTCAAGTGATGCAAGCGCCTGTCCAAGGCTTCAGAATGTAGCTTCCAACAACGTGTCAGGCTTCAAGCTGTTCTTAATCACCCTGACACTGGATTCTCTGTCTGAACCTCTTGAATTGTTAGGATTCTAAAAACCTCTCTGAGTGATACAGGTTTTGCTTTCTTTCTCTGCGCCTGCACCACAAAGCTGAACTCTGCAAAGCTGCACACCTCGCACTTGCCGAACATTCGGCTGGACAGGGTGATGAAGGCACAGCCGAACGTGACCCATCAATCTCAGAAAACCTACAGTCCCAGCACTACACAAGCGTAGCCTCCCAATTGCCCCAACCTTGCATTTGGGAAACGGGGGTGCTTGACAACCAGGACAAGACACCTCGGAACTGCCAACGCACGGGCAGTTTGCCTTTAACCCAAAAAGAAAACGGCACATCACGCCCGAGTCCGGACCAGGATCTCACGCCCTGCCTCCACCTTGCTGACCTGAGCCCCCCGGCGCGTTTGTGCAACACATCCTGGCGATGAATTCTGCAAGGGCGAGTCAAATGTTCCACATCTTTAAACCTACGAACCAGCAGCAAGCCCACTTTGGCCCGAAGGGAGATGCTTGAAACCAGAATACGCAGCCGCTGTCCTCTGAGCCATCGGGTCATTCAGACAGGGTGCTTCCAAAGTTTGTGAGCTTTGTTTGGTGGCATAGGGACGAGGGAAAACCAAGAAACCAACTAGATTTGGGGCTCCCCCCTCGCTCAGAAACGCCCACATTCCAGCAAAAAGTCCTGAGTGGTGAGTCCCTGCAGCACTGTGTTGTTCTCGCGAATGTACCTGAGGTCAAGCAAGGCATTGGCTTCACATTGGTGATTTGCAGCGCTTGTGTTCCGACATCTTATTGGACACACTCACCATCGACAAGAGGTTTTGCAGGTATGTGTGTGTGTGCACGTGCGTATGTCAGTGTCTGTGTGTGTGTGCGTGTCTGTGTCTGTGCATGTCTGTATCTGTGTCGGCCTCTGCGACTGTTTCTGTATCTGCGATTGTGTCTGTATCTGTGTCTGCGTTTGTGGCCGTCTGTGTGTGTGTGTGTGCGTGTCTGCTCTGTATCTGTATCTGGGTCTGCATCTGTGTCTGTGTCCGTGTCCGTGTCCGTGTCTGTGTCGTATGTGGGTGTGTGGGTGTGTGTGTCTATGTGTGTGCGCGTGTGTCTACGTGTGTGTGCGCGTGTGTGTGAGAGAGAGAGAGAGAGTGTCTCTCTGTGTCTGTCTGTGTGTGTGTGTATCTATCCGTCTGTCTATATATATAATGCGTGTGCTTCTTTGTCTGAATGACTCTGTGCTTGTCTGTCTCTCTATGTGTTTCTTTCTGTGTGTGTGTGTGTGTTTATGTTTGTCTCTGTGTGCGTGAGAGGGGCAGTGTGTCACTCTGTGTGTCTCTCTGTGTCCGTGTGTCTCTCTGTGAGTTCGTGCGCGTATCTATCTGTCTGTCTGTGCGTGTGTGTCTGTATGCATGTCTGCACGCGTGTCTGTGTGCGCCTGCGCGCCTCTGTGTGCCTTTGTGCCTGTCTGCCTGTCTGCCTGTCTGCCTGTCTGCCTGTGAGACTCTGCGCGCCGGCATCTGTATCCGTATGCGTGCTCATGCGTGCGCCTTTTCGTGTTCATGTTCGTGGGCGTGCGCATGTGTGTGTGTGTGTGCAGGTTTGAGTGCGTGTGGGGTTTTTGGTATGGGTGGGGGTTTGGGGGCGTGTGGGTCCGTGGCCTCTAGCAGGGGGGGGTGCCTCCCTGACGGCAGGAAAATTGCGGAATTCCATTACGCGGATCACGTTGGCGCACCCTGTCACCTCTCGCAAAGCCTTCGCGGTGAACGTCCGATCTGCCTGGCAGGTACACGAGGAAGGAAAAGCACCTTCCAAGGGGGTCAGTTGAGCAACACTCCTTTGAAAAAGCAGCACGTTTCTCTGTGCCTGCCCGCGAATACATTAGCCGGGCTGGCCTCAGCGAGCTTGATTTTTCCCGGTGTGATTCTGTCAATGGAGCGCATCCCCTCACAGTTTGAGGATGTCCTTTTTGCGTTGTGTCAATAGAAAACTAAACCGAAACCACCCAATTTGACGAACTCCACATCTTGAGACAAACCCACCGCCTGGCCACCTGGCAGACGCAAAGGCGTGTTTCCACGCCTTTGCAATGCCCATCCGCTGGAGGAGGAACTTGCTGCCGTAGCGCCCGAAATTGTCCACCTCACGACCAAAAACTGCTGTCACCGATTTCGAGAAACTCGGGAGTCCTGTGGGTCTGGTGGGATGCGTTTCGCGAGTCCCGGCCGCCCCTCTCAAATGCACAAGATGACCACTTGATGTTTTGACCGCACCTCACCTGGCTTGGCAGGAACACCAACAGCTGGCCCAAAGTTGCAAGGTATTTGCATAAATATGACACCAGAACATAGCCGACCAAACCAAACAAACCCACCCAACAAACGAAGCTCAACCAAGGCTAAAGCAAACCAAACTGAATCCAGGAAAACAAAAAACTGGTCTGTGGGGGGGGTGACTTCCTAACATGCACTTCTTTCAACGAATCCTGCCCCAAGCTCCCTGTCGTTGCCACGGACAAAGATTTGGCCTGCAGCTTCTGCAAGAAGCTCCAATACTCCTGGCCAGGAAGGCAGGACATGGCCGTCTTTTTTGGTCTTGGCTCAGCTTCTGAGAGAGGTGGGTGTCATAGGGGGAGGGGTGGGTGTGATAGGGGGAGGGTTTGTTTTGTTTGGCCTCCTTTTTGGAAGCCACCCCAAAAAGGCTTCTCTTGGCACGGCAAGACACCTCTTGTGCCTTTTGCCGACTTTGGTTAGATGGGTTTGGGTCCGTTTGAAAATCGAGAGCGCTTGTGCTGACGCTATTTGAAGGGAAACCAACCCCCTGGACGGGTCAGAGCTTTGGGCATGAGGACACATGAGGACATCGTCGATGTGTCTCAAACATTGGGAGTTGGACCCAATGGTTGGTTTCCTTTTGGGTTCCCTTCAAACCAACCAAAAAGCAACTGCGGCCGGCCTCCCCCTGCCATTGAGCCTCGCTTTGTGGAAAGACCTGCGCAGATCTTGCGACCAAAAGGCAGCCGCATGTCACCGCAAAGGGGCATGAGACACGCAGTACCAAGACAACCCGAGGTTGCATAAAAGCAACGCGTTGTTTTCGGTGGGCCCTTTTCGGGCTATCGTTTTCAACACCTCAACATTTTACCGCGCCTTGTGCCTTACTTTGAAGCTCAAGAATAAACTTTTGTTCAGTACACTCGTAGCACACAAAGACGCAAAGCACGGTTTGCCAGCTCTAGCTCCAAAATCACCACTTTTGGGTACACGTGTAGCAAGCAAAAGTACATGGTGGCAGCCCCAAAAAGCCGAAGCTTTTTTAGTACATGTTGACACCTCCAGCTCAAAAGAATCGCAACGTCCAGCCGTTGTCATGGGAAGATGTGAGGATTTTATTCATAGGGCCAATCTGTGAAAAGAGTTGATGTTGTCTTTGTGCTACCGTTTTGTTGGCGCTTTTGTTCAGCGAACAAGTCTGGCCTGTCTGCTAGCCAACAAGCTGTGTTTTCAGAGCCAACAAGGCCGCATCCAGCGATTCTTGTTTTGTTCCCTCGTTGCTTTGCAGTGAAAGGGGTGGGTTTCATCGTTAGGCGCAAAACAGCTGCCGAAAGCGGCCCCAGGCAGTGGACCCGGGTGAATCACAGGGAACGCTTCGCTGCAAGTTGAAGCTTGGGCCTCAACTTGAAGAAACCCAGCGGCAAACAATGTAAAGTTGGGAATCTGTGCCGGATATCGTTGCTCTCCTCAATCAGCTCGGCGCCATCCATGCGGAGCAGCTTCGGCTGCGTGGGCGGGCCAGCGGCTGGTGGGGCCACTAGGCTTCGGTCCCCTGTCTCTCTCTTGGCGTTGGGTCTGCGCTCTGGCGGTGACTTTCTCTCTCTTGTCCGGGTCGGGGCCCTCCCATCCTCGTGGCGCGTCAAGCAGCGCCTTGCTGCCCGCTTGTTGGGGCGGCGGGCTGCTCTGGGCTTTGTCGGCCCCGGGTAGTCTGTGTCCGCTCGGCGGCCGCCGTGCTTCTGCTGCCCTGGCAAAATTGGGGGCCTGCCGGCTTCCTTCCTTCCCCCCCCCCCCCCTCACGCACGTCCCCTCGGGCTCTCTGTCTTGCGCGCACGGGCTTTTCGTCTTGCCCCCCTCCCCCTCGGTCTCTCTCTTCGGCTTCTTCGTCTTCTTCGGCTTCTTCCTTGCCGTCGCCGTTGTCCAGTCCCCGTCGTTTCGGCGGCGGCGGGCGGAGGATGCGGCGAGTTTCTCTCTCGAACAGGTAAGAACAAGCGCGCCGGCGGCAACTGGTCTGGATGGGGAAGATCTCTAAAATGTCACTTGTGAGAAAAGCAACAGCTTGCTTGGAGGCAGCCAAATGCATTTTGCTCAGCGAATGTCCACCAGTCCAAGAAAACCTACAAAACTGAGGCATCCGTGCTGTGCAACCCAACGGTGCGCACGGGTGCGCGTCGGCCGTCGGCCCCTCTTACCCAAGGCCCCCTTCCGTTGGCCTCCATAAAGCGCCAAAGGACGGCGCCCAGGCGCCTTCGTTGAAACGGACGCCGCAGGTTCCGTTGGGGACTCCCATGGAACTCTGAATGTCGCCTAGTCTGCCTTGCTCCTGGCTTGCGATTGGAAACCTCCATGTTGCTCGCTTGCGATCCGTTGGTAAGTGGGCAAATTGCCATCCCCTGTCGTTTGCTTGTCCCGTAAACCCAGCCAGCTGCCAGCTTTGCTTCGTTCATCTCTGGATAGGCAAGGCCCCGCCTGCCATTCTCGTCACAGCAAAGCTTCGCATCTAGCAGCGCCTGGCCCGAGAAAAACGCCATGGCTGGCACACCGCACGCATGGTCTCTCTCTCTCTCTCTCTCTCTCTTTTGTTTTATCTTCTCTCCCTCTCTCTCTCTCTCTCTCTCTCTTCTTGCTCTGTCTCTTTCTCTTTCGCATACTTTCTATCTATCTGTCTGTATATCCTGGTATCTATTTACCATCTTCTTTTTTATCTACCTACCTATCTACATATCTATCTAATATGCCCATCTGTCTATCGATCAATCTGCCTACCTGCGCACCTGTCTATCTTCCTACCCAACTCTCTGGTTATCCATTTGTATATCTGTCTACCTGACTATCTATGTGTCTATCTACCTATCAAGCCATTTGTCCATCAAATCTGTCTACTTACCTATCTATCTGTTACCCGTACCTACTTATCTACCCACCTACCTGTCTATTTTTTCCGATCCGTGTATGTGTCTATCTGTCTACCTATGTCTCTACCTAACTTATCCCTCCGTCGATCTATCTCTCTATCTGTCTATCTGTCTGTCTGTCTGTCTGTCTATCTATCGATCTATCTATCTATCTATCTATCTATCTAGTGATCGATCTATGTGTGAGTCTATCTCTAGCTAACTGTCTCATTTCTCATCATCTGTCTGTCTATCTATCTGTCTATCCCTCTATCTGGCAAGCCATTGATCCGTCTACCCATCTATCTTGCTGTCTCTCTGTCTAAATATCTTTCTATCTGTCGGTCTGTCTATCTCCACACATATGTCTCTATGTCCAGTTTACGTCTATATTTATCTGCAGAGCTCTGAGACTGCTCGGCCTGCTTGTTCCCCCCACCGCACGCCCATGCTCTCCCAAACGCATTCATTCTTCATCTTATCTGTGCAAAACGAATAGCATCTAACCCATTATCTAATCGCTAGCATCCACCTTCTGAAAGCGCTGCGCCTACCTGCCACGAAATCTGCTCGCGCCAGTTTGCACGTCCGCGTCCGTCACAATAGGATTTGCGACACGTGCGCGCCAGCGTGCCAACATGCTGCAGCTATCACAGAATCTGCGCCTGAGTCGGCAAGAGTGCTGCGCCTACCACGATATCTACACCTCAGGTCTCTGCCAAAGTGTCGCCTGGCACGCAAACCTCCAAACTCCACAACCAACAAACCCAGTTTCCCAAACCCCAACCAGCCCCCCGCCGCCAGGTGCTGCGGGTCCAATTCGCGGCCCCGCGCCTGGCGCGAAGCAATCTATCAGATCATAATAAGTCGGTAGGCCCTGTTCCTCAGGCTTGTCTTTGATTCAAGCGCAACCCAGATTCATATAATTCTTAATGTAGAGCTTGCTCCGCTGCAAACCCCACGTGCCCGAGGCCCACAAAATTTGGCTCAGCAGGGCCTCATCTGCTATGGCGCCCAGCAAAAGATCTGCACCTGCGGCGGTTCCCCCGGATTGCCAGCCCAAACAATCGACTCCAACCGCTGACGTTCTCCATCTGCAAAGGATCTTCGAGCAGCCCATTGAAGCGACCCTCCCACAATTACCCAGTACATCATGGTAAAAAGAAAACCCTGCTAGATTTGAGAACCCTGCTAATTACCACGCTGCTCACTTTGATGAAGCTTGATCCTGGTTTGGTTTGAAGGGAGAACACTCTGCCTGCCGGCGGGTGGCGCGGCGGACCCACGCTTGGAGAGCCGCGTAATCCCAAAGAGTTTCAAGCGCGCCTGGACATCTCAGGCTTGAGAACGCCCATGCACAGTTTCCCAGCGCCTGGCGCACATTCGGGCGCAGAAGGCAGAGCTCTGTCTCTCAAAATTAGGTCTACAAATGGCTGGTTGATTCACCAACCTTTTGGAAGGGGTTCAACTGAAAACCAAGGGAACCACACCCACGATGCGGACCCCTTGCGGACCCCACCCGCCTGGGAGGAGAAAGTAGAGACCTGGTTGCCAACTCAACTGTGTCATTGGGTCCTTTTTTGGAGGCTCGGTGCCCATTTGCAGATCGGTTTGAGGGGAAGCCAAAAGGAAAACCGGAGCCGTTTTCGGATCCTCCCCTGTTTCAACAATACATCCCAATCGGCCGTTGGGTCTGATACCTACTCAGTGGCCAGGAAAGGCGAGTGGTCGTGCCAAAAAGTGGGTCTGTCTGTTTTCAGGGTGCCGGTTATTTGTCAGCTTGAAAAGGAAAGCCAAGAGGAAAACCACCACTTTGGTGGAGGGTCCAAAACAAAAAAAACAAATGTGCAGGCCCTCGAAAGAAACGGTCAGAACTGCGGGTCAGGATCCCTTACCATCGAAGGGCGTTTGCACGATGTGAATAGGATTCGGCTTGTGTGGGTCCTTTGGGTTTCGCTAAAGGTCCATCCATTTTGGGGAACTCCGCCCTCGGGTTCAACCCTCATTACAAAAAGGATTGACCCAATTAGCATGATTACAGTCCTTAGGTAAACAATGGTGGTTATACGCCCCCGCATTGTCTTTCATGGTAGTAACTGAACCCCAGGGTCCGGTCTCTTTAGAGCCCCACTCCAAAAGGCGCCCTCCCAAGCCTGAGAAGTCACCCGCCGTGAACCGCGCCTTGTTCTCTGCTTCTCGCGCAAGCGTCTCCATGAGCTCGTCGTCCTATCGGTACGTCGCTCAATTAAAATGGCGTTGGCTTTGCCAAAAAGAGAAAAGCGACCACCTGGGTGAGGCTTGAACCATCTGTGGTTGGTCCGCAAAGGACCGGTATGTCTCGAGTTCTAAAAGGATCCAAGGAATGTGGGAGGGTCCAAGAGTCCAATTGCAAGGCGCATCCGCAGGTCTCTTTGTGACCCCTTTTGAGTGCCATTTCCGGGCTTGGGGCAAAAAGCCCAAATCACTGGTCTTATGGGAATCATGAGACCCCAGGTCCTTCTCTCCAAGGGTCGCAAAGGCCCAGGCAATGTTCGCAAAATCCTCAGGGGTTTTCTGCGGGGAGGGAGGGGGAGGGGTATGATTCACAGGTGAGCTCGCGAAAGCCCCCGGGTGTCTGAGCGCAAAGTCACTCCACCCAAACATTGCACCAATGGCAAAATCGAGATCCTTGGTTCTGCAATGATGCGTGATCCCAAGAAAAAATAAAGAAGAAAAAAACGCCTGAGGGAATCTGGCAAATCCCTATGAACTCCCAAGAGGATTGGAAAAACACCATTTTGGGCATCTAGCACATCCCAAGAACTGAAACTGACACCTGCCTCGCGATTGAAATAAAAAATGCTCTCTGGGGCTCCGTCCAATGGATGGAAGTCTTGCACCTTTGACTTTGCAGCCTTGCAGCGAAGAAGACTCGCCGGGTGAACTGGTAACAAAACATACCTTACCTCGAATCGGCAGTTGGCTTGGTTGTTTGAAGTTAGGGATACCTTCCTCTTTTGGCTTGGGGAACGGTAGTTCACACCCCCAAAGCACCAATCCAAACCAAACCTCTTTAAGGGACAGCCCAAGAAAAGTTTCAAAAGCACCCTAGCCCTGGAAGCTGCCTTGCAAAAAAAAAAAAAAAAACTGGAGAATGAAAACACAATCGGCAAACATGCGGTGCTACCCGTATTGGGCACGGGAAGATCTGCAAGTGACCCGAACATCCTCTGACGTGCGTCAGAACCGCCTGGGAGATGTGTCTCATCAAGTCCTGGCGGGTCGCCCCCAAAAAGTCTGGCCAAGTCTTCTTCGGCCAAACCAAATCCGCCTCGCCCCCCCCCCCAACCCCCCCCCCCCCAAGCCCGGCCAAAGCGGCCGACCACACCGGTGCCTTCTTGAAGACCCCCAGGCGCGCAAAGGCCCAGGCCAAGGACTCCAAGTCATGGGGGCTGCACTCGTGGATCTGGCCAAACGTCAAAGGCCACGGCCGCCCAAATGGCAAGGCCATGGGACATGGGAATTTCGGTGTGTAACCCCGTTGAAGTAAAATATCTAACGCTGCTCAGCTTGAACAAAAGTGTCTTTCGGTATTATTTTGGGGCCCAAGGATAAAAATATGAGACCCCCGGAAGGTCTGGACAGGCCCTGCATGTTCAACCAAAAGGTGAGGCAACAGGCAAACAAGCGCATTTGTGCGACGCTGTCCTTTGGCTCCGACATGTGCAGGCCTTGTCCACTGCAACCTCTGCAATGACCTGGCGCCATCCATCCATTCGCAAAGGCATCAATAGGTTGGGAGTCTCGCTTTCGCAGGGCTCAAAGGAATCCAAGGAGCCAACTGCTTAAGGGTGTCCTCAGCCGCTGGAAATTGGGTGACCTTTTCACTGCAAGTTGTCAGGCTTCCTCTATTTCCCAGGCTCGCGAAGCCTCGAACATCCTGTGATGCGCGAGGCCAAGTACCTGGATCCAGAGATTTGGAACCATCTCTCCTATCCATTTAAGGCGTCAATACAAAAGATTCACCACCATTTGCCATCGTTAGCCCACAGCCCCGCAGACACAAATATTTCAGCTTCAGGAAATCGAAGACTGGGTCCCCAAAAGGGTCCCTTTGCTTCTTGAGAACAGGAATCGGCTTCGAGATGTCAGGGCGCTGCAAAGGCGCAGGCCATGTTGGACAGGCCCTGGCGAATCTTGAAAACAAACATGGGGATGTCTGTCACAATGAGAATTCGACACCCCAAATGGGTCGGTTGCCCTTTGGCTCCGTCAAACCAGCCGCCAACAAAAAGGGTCACCCTCAAAGGAAAAAGCACCCTATCCGAGTGAAGCGTCGTTCTCCGGACTCTATAGTGGTTGTCTCATCCTAGTCAGTAAGATCCTACGTCCAGCGGCCACACGTGCCGCTGCATTCCTCTCCACAAGATACAGATCAGCATGATTGATGCGCAGCGCCCTGTTGTCATATTCACGTCTTCATGCTGGAAAGGATGATGCTGTTGTTTACGAGATCCCCAAAAAACGGTCAGTTTCCTTTTGGTTTCCCTTTAAAGCCAACCAAAAAGGATGATGCCTCCAAAAAACACGCGCCCCTACAGATGCTGCTTTGACGAAGCCGGTGACAAACTCCCTTGGCTTCCGGAGGCCTGCGGGTTGAAGCCAGGAGCACGCTCGATCACCATCTCGGCCACGGGGAGCAGCAGCTCCTCGGCTCAGCCTGACCTCTTGGGCTTGGTAAGTTGCCTCTGATCTCTGCGGAGCTAAGTCCAATCAGCTCAGAAACGTGTCTTGAAATCACGGGGACATCATCTAACTGCAGCGCAGGATTCGCACTTTAGCTTTAAACCATCCCAAAGGCGATCTTTCATTGGAGCCCTGGCGCATTGCCACCTGCCAGAGTGCTTCTCCCGGGCACTGCCAGTACCCGCAGCATCTGACTAAAGCTCCATTCGATCTCTGACTTTCGTCTCCTCGTCGGGCTGCTGCACCACGCTGAAGGCCCAAGCCTCATCAAAGTCACCCCTTAAGTGGGTTAAAGGGAAACAACCCCTTTTTCTGACTTTGGTGACTCCCACAAACCGTCAAAATAATGCCCCCAGCATTGGCTCTTGGAAAATCTTGCCAATAGAAAAGCCAAGTTTGGCCAGGCTCTCCGCTGACAACACCCAGTCGCTCGGAACACGGCGAGCTGCAGATTTCGTAAGGCTCCGGGTTCTGCGTGCTGACCCTGTTTTTTGGGGGCACCGCTTGTTCATCGATCTTAAAGGGAAACCAACAAGAAAACCGAATGCAATTTTTGAGGTTCCCCTACTTTGAGACAGACCCATTTCGCATTTAATGTCATAGTTGCTCTGGGTGCTTGTGAAAATCAAGATCAACCCCCACACCATCTCAGCCCCGACCCAACGAACTGAGGACTGGACCAAGTTGCACAAGTGCTGCTGGTGAAACTCCTCATTCTTTCCCATGGCACCAGCCCAATTCGATTTTCTCGCATTTCAGCCCAAGCTCCGTCCACGCGATGCGAAAACACTTGTCGTCTGATTAAAAACCTCCCCTCTGCTTGCAGCTCAAGCAGTGAGACGCCGCTTACCCCCGTGACCCCGGATACCTTCCATGGCCTGCAGATGACCTTGCCTGGATGCCTCCCCGCTCCCCCTTTTTTTGGATGGCAAAGGAAACGCGAAAGAAGTCAAGCATTTGTTGGGGGGGCCTACCTTCCAAGTAGCACAGAACACACCAGGTCCCTGTCGGGTGGAACGCAAGTGGAAGGCTTCCCCTCAGCTTCCATGCCAGTCGCGTACCGTGGGGTCTTGCATGGGGGAAAAAAAGAAAACTGAGGGTCCGTTGCCTCCCGAGACAAGACCATTGGGGTATGAATTTCGATTGAAGACCCTCCAGGACATCATTTGTATTCATTGTCTCCCTCACTGGACATAGGATTTGGGTGGGTTAAGCCATAACTGCCTATTTTGGTCACTCATGGCATTCTCTCTGCTAGACTCTACTTCTATAGATGACAGTACATATTGACCGTTGCTCAGACATAGGTCGTTCTAGTCCCATGTTGAGACCGCCCACACCACGGGCGATTTGTGGGGCACGTCACGGAAGCCCGACGGGTCCTGCAACTTCTTCCTGGCCTCCAGCGACACGGCCGAGAAGAGCTTCGGGTGGCCTGAGCTCCGCAACTGACGTTCTGCGCATCGTCCAGCCCTTTTCACGGATTTATGTCGAATCACAAACCTACATACCTCCATACATACATATATGCATACATACATACATTACAGTACATTACGTTGCATTACATTACATTACATTACATTGCATTGCATTGCATTGCATTGCATTGCATGGCATGGCATGGCATGCCATTGCATTGCATTGCATTGCATTGCATTGCATGCGTGCATGCGTGCATGCGTGCATGCGTGCATGCGTATATACATACATACATACATACATACATACATACACACACACACACATACATACATACATACATACATACATACATACATACATACATACATACATACATACATACATACATACATACATACATACAAACATACAAACATACATACATACATACATACATACATACATACATACATACATA